ATAACTCATGAGCCTTGTATCTAAAAGGAGGCGGGAAGGGGAAGAAGAAATGAATCAACATTTTTCCCCCAAACGAAACTATATTATGAGACTTCTTAACAAAGGAACATTGATGGAAAGGACCACAATAATTTCCCTCAACTATATATATATATATATATATATATATATATATATATATATATATATATATATATATATATATATATATATATATATATATATATATATATATATATATATATATATATATATATATATATATATATATATAACTCATGAGCCTTGTATCTAAAAGGAGGCGGGAAGGGGAAGAAGAAATGAATCAACATTTTTCCCCCAAACGAAACTATATTATGAGACTTCTTAACAAAGGAACATTGATGGAAAGGACCACAATAATTTCCCTCAACTATATATATATTTATATATATCTATATATATATATATATATATATATAACCTGGGCGTGAAAATACAGATAAGATTATGAAAAGTAATAAATATATACAACCTTAAATGACTGCAAGCTCTGCAGTTTAAAGCTTAGAAAGGATTCATGATACAATCAAGGATTGACTCACTGGCCTCTCTTGAGGAGTCTTTTTCCGCCTTTGAATTAAATTAAATACCAGCCAGGGTAACCAAACTGCTCACCGCTGTCCAGTGAATTCCCTGATATATAAATACATCTATACATTAGCATGGGACTTTTTAAGTTAATGAACAGATTTTATACAAAATTTCCCCATTATACAGAAACTGTACATGGCAAGCCTGTGCATTAGACCGGTCTTGTTTCTGTGATCTGGTAAATGCGAGTGCAAGAGCTATAAAATTACAATTTACATTCAGTCAGTCAAGCTTAATGAGGAAAAAACTTTACGATGTCGACTGAAACTGTCTGCTACGACTACCACAATTCTGTACCTAGAATTTTTTCAAGTGTTGACCACTTTCGCAAAATCAACATTCACAGGTAAGATAATGTATGAAACTTAAGGGATGTTTGCAAGATATTAACTAATTAAACAACTCCATAACTACTCTATAAATATATAATATGTACAAATCCGAGCTAACAACAAAATGTGAAGCATAAATTTCACAAAAGAGGCCAGACAATTTGAGTACCTAATAAAACTAAAATATCATAGCCTCTCCCGACACACTACACAAAAATACATACAAAATACAGGAGAGTGCAAAAATGAAACAATAGGGCAGGAGGTTGAGAGAATAAAAATGACATTGGTTTACAAGCTTTTCTACTGAGAAAGTGTGCTCAGCAGTCAGTGGGGCTATATCAAATAGAACCTAAAATTTGGTTAAGTCGTCATATACAGCAACATCCTTGCTTTGGCGCAATACAAAATCATCGTCACTATCAGCACTTGTTAAGTCTTAACTTGATGAACTATTCAGAACTTCAACTCATGAAATGACAATGTCATTATTATCACCACCAAATAATAATAATGCTAACGGTGACACATCAAAAGGTTATCTTTTGAAACTTAAATCTTCTATTCCTGATATTGAAAAACGGACACACAAAATGTGACTTCATTTAATTCAGAATTCTCTATGGCAACAATTCAAAAAGAATATGTAGTTAACAAAAAGTCATGCTCTGCGCTGAACAACAATTCCTAGGCCCCTGTCAGTGTCCCCTCTGCAGCAAATCAAGATTCTAACCTCCATGGGGTGAAACAATAAAACATAATGACAGAAATAGAGACATAAAAACACACTTGCAAAATTTGTTTGCCCCTTGTTCAATTAGTTTAGGGAAAATTCACTCATAATATTTGAAGCTAGTGCCAGTACTGGATTACTTGATAGAGAAATGTGAGGGTTTGCCTCAAACTCGAAACCACACAAAGTCTGAACACAAACCAGGCAAAGCTTGCAAAATTGAGTAGGGGAATTGATATCTGAAATCAATGCATTAAACAAATTGACTTTCTGACCAAGCCTAAACTCTTAAGGGAAAGTTACTCTGGAGCAGCAGAATACATACTAGCAAATTAGCAGCCACTTTTGGTCTTTTAGATAGATGGTCAAACTGAAATGGTCAACCTGTTCAAGGAAGCTGATCGAAAGGGGGAAGGGGGGAACAACACTCTTATAGATCTCGTTATGAAAGCTTTGAATCACTCCCTGCAAATTAGGAGCGAAAATTGTCAAATAACCCAGCTGGTATGTGGCAAAAGTTTCAACGCCCAAAAAGCAGCCCCGAGAAATGAGAAATTCATTCCAAAACTAGGAGGACATGCTGAAACCTTGACTGTCCTGATATAAAAAGAAATCACTCCATTACTGGCATGGCAAACAGAAGTATACGCATACCAGCTTTTGTTGATGCTGCATGAAGTAAAAGCATCACTGACAAACTTTTGAGAGACATCAGCCGTAAAACACCCCCCCAAGTTGCGCAGGTCTATCTGAGTGAAATAGAGAAGCTGGCAAGACACAAATAACCTGAACTGAGACATTCTTGCGTTAGAAATCGGAGGTAACCAAACTGCTTTGCCACATGCATTTAATATTAACAACTGTCTCATTCACCAGTTGGAGCACAGATACAAAAATAACCATACATCAAAACATTTGTATAATTGTACCAAAAGATAAATTACTTAACTTTTTGGGACAGAACAAGACTGCAACAGTAACACTGAAATATCATTAAGTGCCAGTCAAAAGGAGGACATCCATATCTACTGTGAGCACATACACCTGTCGCCCACCGAACATATTATCTGCATGGTCATTATCATACATGACATTTCAAATGAATTCAGGACAGGAAACAAAATTAACAAGAAATTCATATGACTAGAATGGTTGGAATTCTTTTTTTTTTCTTTCCAGGCTTCATTATTTTAAATGCTAAAAGCCCATCAGAAACAATGAAAAGGGAACAGAGCCAGAGAAAAGTGCGCCGAAAAGAATTGAGACAAACATGCACATGTATACTAATCCCACTATCCTCGTGCCTGCTGTATCTTCTTCTGCTGTACTCTTTGCCTCAGCACATTTTACAAGTAGACTACATCCAAACACAAAGACTTCATCACTAAATTTCCAAAAGATGCATAGGCCTGAGACGGAAAGATTAGTTTTTACGAATAACAAACACAAGCGTGGAACAGAAAACGTGTGAAAAAAGTTGTAATTACAAATACATAAATGATAAAAGCATCGGCATTAGTAATTATAAAGCCACTTCTAGGGTCAGACGAGAACCAGTCATCTTTTCATTCACTCAAATTTGTTTCTTTTTCAAAAAGTGGACTTTAGTACACTTGCACATAAAACATGTTCCCTTTAATGAGGAGTAAAAAGACAGCGCTCTAATGAAGTTGTACATACAAGAACACATGCTCATCAAGTAAGATATAAAGGATATACTGAGTCTTTGTCGAAGGGCACATTATCATTAACAAGTAAAGGAGAGTGCTTTGTTCTGATGTAGGGTCAAGAATGGACGAAACAATGTTACAAGAATGCTGAGAAAATAAAAAATATAGTATGTGATTACTTGGTCAATATAGTGGAAACCTTACAAATACTGCGGTTAAAAATACATGTCTCAACAGATAACATGATCCATTTTGAGCGTACACAGTTACTGAAATGCACGTACATTTTGCTGAATATTCTATATAAAACACTCTGAAAATTTAAAATCCTAACAGGACGTAAAAGAGAAAAATGTATAACATGAAACAAGACATGGCCACAATAAATCTTTAAAAATTAAAGTAATTTGTACAGCGTTGAAATAACAAGGCAAACCCCTGAAATGACTTACAAACACAAAACAAAAATAGATTACAGATACCGTAAGACGAGCTTCGGTCAACACGATTATAGACAAGCCAGGATATGAGTGATTTTTGCCGTTTCAATGTAAAAATAAGAGATCTCTTGCCTGAAGTTTTCTTTTTAATGTACGGCAAGAACTCGCCACCCCTATAGAAAAAAGCATGATATATCTACATGGTAGTCTCAGAAGTACAAGAATGTTACCCAAGTCCTTGAGCAACGTTGTGCCGCATCTACAACAGTATTGCGCAGAATTTCAATCACCAAATGCGCAACACTGTCGTGGTAAGCATTTCTATGAGGTCAAGGAAGAATGTCGAATTAGAACTGATTGAAAACGAGGCTACAAAGCAATAGTAGAGTTGGTCTTTTTCTTTGAGTTTTTGAACTATCAAAATTGAATTTTTAAAGTTGATATAACGAAATGGAGGGCACGATGGAGTTAAAACTTTGAAAATACATAAAATTCAGCTCAAAAAGTGATCTCAACTAAGCAAAAACATGTTGGAAGTTCATTTCTTGGTCTATCGTAATATGTGTTACAACGCAAAGGAATCATGATGCTCGTCAATATTTGAGACTGTGGAGTTATTGGCATCACATTTAAGTTTGTTAATTTGTCTTTGCTAATACTCATCTATCTTGAATAGAAGTCAAAAAATTTGCAATTGAAGGAGGCCTGGTTTCAGTGGTAAAATTAGCGAGAAAATGGCCACCAAACTTTGGAGACTTTCAATGCCTGAGCCCTTGGTAACTGAAAATTGACAATTTCTGTGCCTTTATCAACATTTTCAGTAAAAACCCCACAGAAATGTTTTTTAACAGACATGTTTGGTGTTGAGCATTTTAAAAAAAAATTTGATCAAAACTGACAAACCAGCATAAAAAAGACCGGTTCTTTTGATTTAATTTTTTCGACAAACACCTGATTTCACCACAATGTCTCACATATTGCGTTCTTACATCACTAGAGGAGTTGGTTATTTTCTTAATTTGAAGAAATAGGTAACAAATGAAAATCTGATAGTCACAAATATACTGAGAGAAATAAATATCTCGCTCAAACTGTACCACAGCATAAATTGGCTCGTTGGAAGCAATATTCTTTTCCTAAAACAGATGTATATTTCACGATTATTTTGTAAAGGATTTTATTTTTTAATGAATTTTGAGAACATCTGTATGCAATTTTTTGAGAACTATATCCCTTTTCCAGGATTTCAGGGCATGCATCAGAAGCTAAACGGTTACGGCATTAAAAAAGTAGCTGCTTGTACATACATTTTTCTTTTTAAACTTCATGATTTTCGATTGATATATTCTGACATATATTCTAGTTCCAAAGAACAAAAGAATATTCAGTGCTACCGAAAAAAAGAACCTTTTAAAAAAATCCAAATCTGACACGCTACAAACTTACATTTCCCCACACAAAGTACATTTCTTCACACTGCCAAAGACATATGCACAATATTAACCAGAATAGGTTGTAGGAGAAAGATAGAAAAATAGAAAGCAAAAATCTCTGTACTCTGTAAACATTTGTAAAGCAAATCCTTTCAACAGTTTTCAATAGAATGAGTACCATCAATTTCAAATTCAATAATTTCTTGATTTCAGTAACGCAGGTACCCACTGTATCGGCCCTCAATTTTTCGCAATGTAAAGCCTACGTTGGAAAACGACATTTGTTGGCAGTAGGTGGACTAGGGTGCCCACAAGGTACAATATTTCGTTCATTTTTCTGATGACAAGAGACAATAAAATACACAGAGAAGAGAATATAAAAAAGTACAGGCCAACAAACTGAGAAGGATAAGTTCTAATTTTGGCACTGCGCAAAAGTTGTATTGAAAAAGCAATTAGTCAAGAGCAAGGAAGGAAATGGAATAAGATATATCTCAAATGGAACCCTGCACTTTAAGCAATGCTGAGAAGAAAAAAACACTCTACCAACTGTGGTTAACATCACTTCTTAAATACCAAATTTCAAGTTTTTCTCCGGACAAGTGGTATTAATTTACTATATAGTAAATAGAGAAATAACACATATGGCTCATCTTTGGCACTGGCAACAATTCTCAAATGAACACGTATCTCAAAAAATTAACGTAGAAAATAAACATAGGTATAGTGTGTGCTTCTGCCTTTAAGGTACTGTATGACACTTCAATAGGACAAATGGGCTTTGCACACTTCCAACATTTACAAACAATCCTGATAACCTGAACATTTGCGCCAGGAACAATTCATACAATCACATTGTTATGGTGCCTGCAAAATTGTTTTGAAAGAAATAAGCATTTCTCATTCAAACAGGCTACTGCAAAGGACGTTATATTTCTGAAGTTATGAAATTTTTCTCAGACTTAATTTTAATCAATCCGCACATTTGTGTCTGTGTGTATATATATACATATATATAACACATGTGAAATAGGTATATTCTGATATTAATTGATTAGGAATCGTTTGAAAAGACAAGAGATAGAAAAGGATATTAAAAGTCCAAACAAAAAGGGATCAGTGTGTACAAAACAATGGCATGAGTGAGTACACTAGGTTTACACTAACTAACAAATATGAAATCTTTCTGTGGTGCAGCAAGTCAAAACCAGTCACAGTTCTGATTTACAACAGAAAGATGGATGGGGCACATCAACGTATCAGATTAACTGAGACGCTTTAAAAATGAACAGATGGTGCGGGCACCCCAAAACTGATCATTAAACAATCTAGTGAATCAATCACAAGTACAAAAAAAAACAACCCCAAATAAACCCAATAAATATCAATGAAGTCCATTTTTAAAAAGCATGAACAGAAGCCAACACAAATAAAGATTTGAAAAGTCTGCAGTATTTCTTTTCGTAAGTGTTCGAGGTGCTTAAAATGGGAAGCAAAACGCAGAGCAGCAGATTAAAGAATGCTGTATCATTATTTCATCCGCAGTCAACAAAACTTGAAGGGAAGCCAGGGCAATAATAAACCAAAACAAGCAAAAGTGGGGTAACCATTAATTAAGATCACACATCAGATTATTCCATCAGCCTAAACTTCTTTGTTCACACACCAACACAAGTCCACTTAGCCTATCGAAAGAACAAAATCTTTAACTAAGTTTATACACCACTAAAGATTCACCTCGCTACCAGCCGGAAGATTCCCTTCCCTCCTAAACTACCTTCCCTTGGATCTGTAAAACAAAACCAACTAGGTAGTATAGTATGTACTAGCTATTCCATCGTTGGCTACTTCTACCACACACATTACGCTCCATCATGAGAGGAAGGCTTTGACAGCCCTTCCCTTAAACTGTATAAACGCAATGACTCCGATATCACACTGTGATACTCTATGGCTTTGATATGAATTGCTGCTACTTCGCACTCCGTCCATGCTCTATGAAATAAGATACTAACCACGAACAAGTACGATATTCCCTGCATCCAGGCAACAAGGAGTACCTCAAGTTCCAAATTTAACTTCTCGCAACAAGCCTTCCCCCCTTTTAAAATCAAGTCATCATTATAACACTTCTACTGTAAATGTCTCTTTCTCTTGACAAATAAATGCACAAAGTCTTTCAATACAAAATGAAACACTTCTTTCACTAGAAAGTTACAACAATACAATTTAATTCATTAAAAAAAAAAAACCAAGCCTAAGAAAGAAATCAGAATACTTTCATCAAAATTTTAAAACAGAAGTAGTGACAATGAAACTAAACAAAGGAAAAGCAAATTATACGAAAGATAATCCAGCAACATTCATGTGCCCTGGGCAAAGCAAGGCAAAATGTTGAAACGTTTGCAATTAGTATCATTAAGTACATCCATTACTTTTGAAATTAAAAAAAAGAAAAAATAATCAAAACAAAACAAGAACACCTTAACAAAGAATGTCGGAGTTGATTAAACGTAATGCTGTTAATTTCTGACAAATATAATGACTTATTAAAAGATTAGCATCGAGAACTCAAGAGGTACCAAATTTCTTATCCTTTCATGTCTAACAGATCATCAAGCAATCCTGTAAACATGACAAGGGAAAACAATAACACAAAATCTTGACAAGATATTGTAAATGAGAAAAAAACCCAAAAAACATAGGAGACGCTCCACGACAACAATCTCCCCCCCCCCTCCCCCCAAAAAAACAACTATCCTACACTATGTTGCAAATAAAGTGTTTAAACTGGCGAGGACTAATATAAATATATGAATATATATATGCAAATAAATTATGCTCCTTGCAATTCAATGAGACATAAGAAAAATGTTTTAAAGACTGACGCATGACCCTTTCAGTTCTTCCTTTCCTCCTCAACAGACCCAAAGAAAGGCAGCCTTGTGTACAGATATATGATCACCACGGCAAAGAGGAAGCCATACTGTACTACAGAAGAAAAATTATTGATACATGCGCTCAGTTCTCTCAGCTGGGATAATTCATTTACACAACAGACCAATACAAAAACAGAAATAGGCAAGAACAAAAGTGAGTTCAAAGAAAAACAAACAACCAAAATACAGTACAAAATAAATGCCTGTAGACTAGTAAGTATATGATTAGATACTTTGATGGTGGTAGGTGGAGGGGGTAGGGCGGACAGCACACATACACTGTTCTCGGTAAACAATAAGTTATTCCCTGGTGACAAAAAGCAACAAGTGAGCTAAACAAACGTTCAATGATTCCTGCACATGTTTAAATATAGGATACACAGAAGCCTTTCATAAGTCATAAGTAGAATCACTAACAAACTGAGCAATGTTACTGGTGCATCTTTTTTTTTTTCTCCTTTCCTCCCTCTCTCAGCATGCCTGTAAACACATCAGAAAAATTGTACCAGGTCTCTTTCTTGTCCTCCAACACAAGAAACGGATATCCCAATATCAATCGTTCAGAGCAGAGCGAGAATAATGCATTTATCACTTGAATATGTGCAATATTCACACAACACAAGGTCAGAACCAGGATATAACAGGTCTATAAAAGTATTCCAATGGGATCCACAGAAGAAAGAAAACAACTGTTCAGTTGGTACAACAAGGGAGAAGAAGATCTACAAGACGTTGATGTAGTACTTGGCTTCATATCGCCCAAGCTGCTTTTTCCCACCTGGCCATCAACTTTCTGCACAGGTGTCAAACTCAAGGACCGCGGGCCACATCCCACCCGCCAAATGACTATAACTGGCCCAAAAGAGAATTCTAGGCAATCTTTCCTGAGAATCTCCATAACATAGAACCTTACTCCAAACATTTACAAAGTTGTTGCCAGGAAAAGATGCCAAACATACAACTCTGAGGAATTGGCATAAGAGTGAATATTGGTATGCCTTGATTTTGTTTGCTTTAATTCATATTTATGGTTTCAAAAAGTCTAATTTCCACTGCTCTGTGAGTGTTATCCAGTTTGGCCAGCAGCGTTAAACATTAAGTGAAATTAGAGTCTGGCCCCTGTGGGACTAAGTTTGACACCGGTGCCTTAGAGAAACCGCTGAACTGTTACGGGAGTTCCTTGAAGAAGCCTTCCCCCTCTGTGGGATGGCTGGTTGATTTGTTGCTGAACTGTTTCCCTGGATCTGAGATTGTGCAGTCTTCCATCTAGATTCCGCTACAGCTCTAAATTCTTGATCCAATGCTTGCAAGAGTGATGAGGACCATACTGCAGGGTTCGCATTCTTGACCACACTTGAGAGTAAAAGATGACTAGACGCTTTAAACACGGTTTTCATCATGCTGTTGACAAAAAAAATTAAAATTCAAAGGTTAAATAAAACTAATTGGCATAAGAAATTACACCGATAACAAACTACAAGTGCCCCCAGAACAATTTAACAGTACTCCAAATTGCCATGTCATAATAAGACTAGCATCTCTCAATTCTAAATATGTAGGGAGCTATCAGTTTGAGCATCCCTTATGTATTAATGAGCAGGGCGGCAGACTCCTGTCTCTTCAATTCAGAGCCGAAAATAAATGTTCAATTTGCTCTTTTCTTGTTTTAGTAAGAGTTTTACAACGCTCGCAACTGCATAAGGTGATATGAGCGCTAAAAAAAAGTTGGTTCTGTTCACAACAGCACATTGCACAGTCCGGTTTGGGCCAACATGTTCACTAAAATGTTAAAATATTATAATTTGGTGTAAATACATTTAAAATTTAAAATAACTTTTTTAAATAACACAAAAAATTTTAACAATTTCATTTACAACTTCCCATAAAAGGCCAATGGCCTTCATAAAATCCAGAATTTTGTTGGGATCAACGACGGAAAACAGACCTTGCAATTTTTTGCATCTAAAATATTTCCTTCGGGTCTCTCCGAAGTCTAGACATTCTGTTAAAATGTATCTAATGGTAAAATTTGTGTCGCATCCGACACAGAATGGCTTCTCATCTCCTTGAAGGAGGTATTAGTGTGTCAGGGCCGCGTGTCCGATGCGTAATCAAGTAAAAATTACTTTGTCTCTTGAGGAGAAGTTCGAAGGTTTCCGTGGTCCCAGTTTGGGCTTAATGTTGTGGAGTTTGTTGTTGGTTTGGTTTCTCCAATGAGTCTCCCACAGACTGGAGGTGTAGTTCTTTACTTTATTTTTAAAGTCAAGTCTGTGGGAGAGTGTTCGTCGTTGATCCCAACAGAAGGGATAAGGATTCCTTCCCCAGGAGATCTACCAGCTCACTTCCTCAGATGCCCACATGGCTTGGCTAGGTAGCCATGAGAACACAATATTTTTCCCGGTTTCAGTCAAGGCAGATATTTTTTGTTGTAACCTAACGATTTTTGGGTGTAGCCGTGTGTAGTTTGTAAGTGAGGGGATGCAAGACAGAGTCAGAAAGGATAAGGAAAGATTTGTTTGGAGAATTTTCAACGGAGATGGCAGTGGCCTCCACAGAGAAAATGGAGGCTTCAGGATGGAGTGTACTGTTTGAAGATAGGGCAGCAGCGCCCACAGCAGAGTCCGATTTCGAGCCATCTGTGAAGACTAGCTCTGCACAGGGGTATTTTTCTATGTTTTTTGTATTCTGCTTTAAATGTTTTGGTGTTTGTGCTTGCTCTGTTGTGTGTGGTCAGCTGTAAGTCTATTTTTGCCTTGGTGAGGTGCCACGGAGGGAGGTCGGGGACAAGAAATTGATGGATGTCTAGTTTGGAAAAGTGTATGTTTTTGAAGTCCTCAAAGACTCCCTGAGGCCAAAGGGTTTGATGAGTTTTTCGTTGTTTTTGGAATTTGTTTATGGTGTCTGGGTTTGTTTTGAAAATGCAGTTGTGTGCTGGGTTCTCTGGTGTTGAGCTCTCTTTAATTGGGTATTGTAGTGAAAGTTGTGTGCGTCTGAGTGCAAATGATGGTATGTTTGCCTCCGCCTGGAGGCTTTCCACTGGAGAAGAGCGGAAAGACCTCAGAGCGAGGCGAAGTCCATGGTTTTGCACTGGGTCTAGCATTTTTAGGATGTGGTTTTGCCGATCCATAGGACATGACAGCCATAATCAAGCCTGGATCGGACAAGGGAGATGTACAGGTGGAGAAGGTGTTTTGAGTACCCGCCCCACTCCGGATGCGATAAGATTTTTAAAGCGTTTAGCGCTTTCTGGCACCTCACACAAGGTATTCTATGTGTGGAACAAATGCAAGTTTCTTCTCAAATATAATGCTGAGGAAACAAGCCTGGTCCTGGACGGGAATCCTTTCCCCATATAGTGTCAAATCCAGTTGCAGCACACGTCTGCCTGATCGGCAAAAGTGTACTGCAACCAACTTTGACAGGGGAAAACTTGAAGCCATTATTATTTGCCCACTTTTCAAGTTTGTGCACTTTCCATAGATCTTAGTTGAAGGTTTTTCTAACAGCAGCATATCAAGAAGTCGTCAATGTACAATGAGTCTATGCTATTTTGAAGGGTCTTAACGATGGAATCTATTTTGATTTTGAATAGGAGAGGAGAAAGGATGCTTCCCTGGGGGACACCTTCCTCCAGTTGGTGGGGGTCTGAAAGGGAAGATCCGACACGAACCTCTTTTCTAAAGCAGCATGGCTGTAGAAAGGGGAAAAGAAACAGCCCCTTGGTATTGAGGTGAAAGAGTAATAATAATAATAATGATGATAATAATGATAATAATAATGATGATAATAATAATAGCTACTCCATCAATGTCTGGCGGTGACCAATAGTGAAAGAAGTGAAGGGATAAAGCATGAGATACTGCCAGACACAACACTCAAAACAAGTCAAGGACAGTGCTGACGCCATGAATCTAAACCCCTACCACTATCCTGAACAAACAAGAGTGTTACATTTTTAGTTACAATTCATTTTCACACCAAACAGAGAAAAATGAAGGTTTTGACTATGTCTAATGACTTTTCTCATTTCTTTTCCCAAATGGACATCAAAGGGTGCATGTAGAGCACCACTGGCAAGTCCTACTTCTTTTTTTGTCCCAAGTTCTGATTTATGCCTAATATTTGTAAGTTCCATAGCATATGGTCAACATGGTAGTAGTTGTTATGCTTCAAGAAAAAATGCCTGTCTATAACTTTGTTAGTCTTTAGGCATTTCCAGGCATGACTCCCTTTTCTCTTGACATGACTATGTATTGATATACTTCTCGGTAACTCAAAACCAAACAGAAAAGACCTAAAATGATTCCTATTTCAAAAATTGTAGAAATTGTCCAAAGCCACCTTCTAATGTCAAAAGAAAAGTCGTCTTAAACATAAAGATATCTTGGACAGTGTCATAATACAAAAATGACCACAACGATGGAAATGGAAAGTGATCATAAGGTAACTTGTCTTCGACAGGTGGCCGTTAGAGCAGGTGCAACTTTGTTGTCTGACAACATGACACCATCAAACGTTCCCTGATTCACACTCACCCGCCTCCTTCGAAACAACTTGTCAAAGAACCCCCTCTGTGGTGGCTGTGGGGGTAAACCTTCTATCAGATCTGGCGTAGGTTCTCCATTTGGCCCAAATACATTGAGTTCCTTATAGCACTCTGTCTCTATCATCTGCAAAACACAAAAGTTCACATTAGGATCATTATTGACTGAGCAAGCAAAGTAGCATTGAATTTAGTTTTAGTAAACAGTTTTAAAGCACTTGCAAAACAATAATGTCATGTAAGTGCCGAAGATCAGAGGTGTTACAAGAGAGTAACAAACACAAAAAAAGGAAGGGATGTAAAGACAATAGAAATTTGACAGGTAAGAAGGAGCAAACGACACCAGAGCACCCAACAACCACCTATACAGTATTGAATTTACAGTCAAGGGTCCTATTCAGAAAGGAAAGAAGGTAGAAACCAAATAGACCCAATAACTGTCCAGTGGAAACAACTTTCATTACATCTTTTGAAAAAACTTGTTTTAACAACGACACCTTGAATTATAAATAAAAAAAGAAATAAAATACAAGGTACACAGTATCGGTAGAGAACTTAAACAAGTTATTTATGTGTACTAACAAAGAATAACTATGCCCTACGACCGCCTACAAATACTATTAATTTGAGACATGACATTAACAATCGGGAAAACCAGACAGTACACCATGGTATAATTGGACATATAAAACTTTACCTCGTTTTGCCATGGTATGGAAACGCTGCCTGTGTTGAATTTACTGTAAAATGAGTCGTCACTAGCGTCCAAATTGACACCTTTGACTGTGGAAAACTGTTCAATATCAAGTACATCCTTGCAATACACTGCCCGGGGCTGAAAAGAAAATCACAAGAGGAAATGTACTTCTCATCTGAGGAATTTTCATGTCAGTACAGTCACTGGTATTATTACAGAGGAACAATATATGTCAATAAATGATCTGCAGAACTTTCCTCTTTCAAAATATCATGAAGCTTAAACGTATGGGTATTAAACATTTGTGTGGCATCATGGTGAAATCAGGCATTCATCAAAGTAATGTAAGAAACTGGCATTTTCCCACACCTTGCACATTTTAAAAAAATTTTTTTTTTTTTGGGGGGGGGGGGGTCCATAAAACATTTGTGTGAATTTAATTGCAAAACATTGATCAAAGATGCACAAAAAATGAAAATTTGAAGTTTCCAAAAACATTCCAACTTTTGAAGTCATCAAACTGTGGTGACCATTTTCTCGCTAAATTTACCTCCATCTCCTCCAATCGCAAATATCTCAACTTCTATTCAAAGTTGGTGGGCACTTCTTTTTTTTTTTAAATCAAAAGCATGACAAAAAAACAAGCATTAAGATTATACCAATAACTCCATATGCCCAAAAATTGATAAGAACCTGATTCCACCGAATCATGACACATTTTTACTTTTTCTTGATCAAATCAAACCAATATCATAATATGCACGAGTACATCAGCATCTCAAATTTAGAACAAAATAAAACCCACAATGATTACAAATCGCAACCTCAGTGCTTTCTTGTCCTTTCTCCATATTTTCTTAACATTGAAAATGTGACTTGCTCTTAAGCTCACTCTTTGTTATGAAGCTGTTTTCACTGTTATTAAAAATGGAGAAGACAAGAAAGCACTGAGGTCGCGAAATGCAGTCACGGCTTTACAGCCAAAGCTAAAAGCAAGGAAGTGCGACAAAGCCTGCAGGAACAGAACAAAACCAAAGAACTATTCAATACGAGGGGGTTCAATAAGTTTTTGATCTGGGTATGAAGGAATCACGGTAGAGTAATGAAATTTCTCCAGCCTTTAGACTATCTCTTTTGAACACACCATGCAAATTTTCAAGAAAATCCGACAATAATATGGCACTAATCAGCGTGTTCAATGAAACCCTGCTCAGAAACTGTTGTTTTCATTCACTGAAGCAGTGCCATGGAGCCTGTTAAGTATCGCTTAGTTATCAAGTTTTTACACGTGCAAGGAAAATCCCCTTCGGACATATATGGGGAAATGGTCCAAGTCTATGGGGACAAAAAAATGTTATCATAACACTGTGACATACAGGGTAAGAAAATTCAAATCTGGTTTCATGTCGGCGATGGATGAAGATCGTGAAGGGCAAGTGAGCAAAAGAAGTAGAGGGTTGAGTCTTGCAAAATGCCCCTTCGAATTGAGTCCAATGACACAAATTTCTTTAAAAACATGGTGACTATGGATGAAACGTGAATTTATCCTTTTGATCCAGAACAAAAAATGTTCTCCATGCTATGGACAGCCCCTTCTTCTCCCTCACCAAAGAAGGCAAAGGTAACACCGTCAAGTGGAAAGGTCATGCTGTCGTGTTTCTGGGATTGTAAGGGTATCATCATGACTACCTCAAAAATGGAAAAATGCAGTCACAGGAGACTATTACTTGGGTTTGCTGATAAAATTGTGGTCCAAATTGGGAAAGAAAAAGGCGTGGAAAACTCCGTAATGGGGTCCTCCTATTGCATGACAATGCCCCTGCACACAGGGTGCAACAAGCAGTCCAGACAGCAGCATAGTGCAGCTTTGAAATCCTGCCACACTCAGCTTATTCACCAGACCTAGACCCCTTGGACTTTTTTGTTTCCTAATCTTAAAAAAAAAATAATTCCAAGGAAAACGAGGCGCCATTGAAGCTGTTGAAGACTGGTTTGGGGCCCATTCTGGGTAATTTTTCTCTCAAGGACTTTTCAAGGTCAAAGAGGGGTTGAAAAAAAGTGTTACTCTGCAAGGTGACTATGTAGAGAACTAAAAGTATGTGCCAAGTTACAAAGCTCTATCTTTATTCCTTCATATTTAGACCAAAGACTTCTTGAACCCCCCTCGAATTTTGCCTTAAACGAGTGCTCTTGAAATAAAAGGCTACATCCGATGAGAAAACCATAATTATATCCATGAAATGCTTCACTCACATCAGGAACAAAGGGAGGGTCCACCATTCCTGCTTCTAATCTCTTGAAATTGAGGTTCCGGAAAAAGGGATGAGATTTCACCTCCTCACCACCCTCCACGCCACATCCTAGTCGGCTTGAGGGAGACTTTTGCAAAAGCTGTTGAAAGTGAGAGCAAACAAGTGGTATCATACAAAAATCCAGGCATAATAAGTACTGGAACTGTGAAACTAAAAGCAAAACCAAGGGAAAAAAATAACTGCCAAAAATTCTGAGCTGAAAGCTTGTTCTTTTCCATTCCTTATTCACATTTTCTTTGATAGTGTACCTCCCTAGGTCCACGTGGATTACAGTACAAATCAAGGCTAGATGCCAAAAACCCTCACCCAAAAATAATAGTCCCAAGCATTTACACATACAGGTCTTCACCTAAGTACCCTCTGATCTGGAGAGAAAAAAAAGTGGGTTGTTAGGGGCAGATCGTATTCTGAGGCCGGTTTCAAGGGGCTCAACTTAGTTAATACCCATTGGCTTCCCATGTCTATTATCTGATGAACTATAATGGTAAATATTTTATGGGACTTGCAACACGATTAGTTCATATAAGATTAAGGGTATTACAAGATAGCAACAAACAAGAAAAAAAGGAGGGCAGATAAGGAAGATAGATGTTTGACTTGAAAGAAGGAGCAAACCACTCCAAAGCACCCGCCAACCACCCCACTACTTTGATGAATTAACCACCCCTACGTCATACTGATGCAAGATGAATTCTTACACCAGGACACTGTCACTATAAGACTGAAAATCAAAACTATAAACAGATAAAATAGTACCGGTGAAGGCTAGAAATTACCAATAAACTGACCAGTTTTTATACCACAATTAAATGCTTTGTGATGAGCACTCGACCCTCTTGGATAACCTCATGTGAGTGCTACAAAAACTTTCTGTGCTTATGTACTTGTAGAGTGTAGAATTCATCAACGTCAACTCTTCTTCCTTCGCCCTAACCCAGACCTGCCACTCTGTGAAATCTAAAAATCAGGATCTCGGGGGGGGTTGGGATCAACGACAAATCACAAAGGTAACTGCAAAGCTGACTTTAAAACTGTCCAAGGGTGTCCATAAATATATCCATGTATGTGCCCTTTGAGTGTGTGTGTTGTATTTTTTTAAATCCTGACGTATCACGTCAAGGACTCCTAGTCCAAGTGTCTACACCATCCCTCCCCCCCCCCCCCCCCCCCCCAATGACGTTTAAACATTTTACTGATGGGTCTTGATGACGGGTCCAGCAAACCAGAACTTGGACAAAGCTTACTTGAAAGTAACAGCAGAACTATGAATAGTATGTTGCAATTGAAAGAGTTATCAGGCCATCTTCGGAGAATTCTGGGTGGAAACAAAAGCGAAAGTAGTTCTTGAGAATGTCTTAAGTCGGAATGCCAAATAGATACTACTTCCATGAGAAAGTTAAAATAACACGTGTGAGCAAAAATCAAACACAACTTGGGGCGAGTAAACTACTAAATGCGGCATCAGTATTTCGGAAAACAGTGTTCAGAGTTCCTGCTAACAAAAAGTTTAATGGGTGCTTCCAACGACAGAGAAGAAGGCAAAGAAAGTTTTTTTTTTAATCGTGCGCAACAGATGGGACCAAAACAAATCGGGATACGCGCGATCACAATCGGGAAAATTGGGATGCTTGAGAATTGAGGCAAAAAATCGGGACATCCCGATGACATCGAGATGAGTGGCAGGTCTGCTGACCCGTCTTTTCTCCTCCATGTAAGGCGGAAATTTGGGGGGAGGGGAGGAATTGGAAAATGATGGTTTGTGCAACTGACTGTTTTGGACAGGTGGCCATTAGAGCAGGTTTGACAGTATTCAAATGACTAAACTATAGTAATGGATAAAACTCTCAAACATACAGCTGTGCATATGCTCCGACATTCTTCACTGAATTTGGAAGAATATGTCTCTTGGTCTTCTTTCACCCGCCGGTCTACTTCGTCTCTTTTTACTTTTTCCTTTCGAGCCCTGAAAGGTGCCTGAGGACAAATGCAAAAAAGAACAAACTTGTCTCAACAACAACAAAAAAAGAAATCTTGGTAACTTTTTAAGTTTTATGCTTCAGCTCCACAATAAGCACCAGATAAAATGTTTTAGCATTTCAAGGACAAACAAGAGTATAAAATAAGTCACTGGCATGGTTTTCAATGAATTACATAGGGCCAACCAACATTAATATCACTAAAAAAATTAAAAAATTTCTGGCTGAACAAACCCCGATTAACATCTCTAGACAATATAACCACCATATCCCTGCAAACTGAACATCTGTTTGGGATCAATCATAGCAACTATACCCCTTTCACCTTCACTGACACTAAATTAAACAACGCGGCAAAAGAGGACATAAGGAGGAAAACCATAGTAGCCCTCATTACTGCATCATAAGATATGACTGATTAAGAGTAGCAAACAATCACCTTTTTCAATGTCTTACCTTTCCCTCTATCATTTCGTATATTATACAGCCAAGTCCCCACCAGTCTGGGCTGTATGTGTACCTTTCATTCTTGACAACTTCTGGGGCTGAAATTCAGAAATACTCCTTTTGAACAATTCATCTCAACAGGTTGTTATTAATAGACCCATCATTTTTTTTTTTCTTTTCAAGTGCTACTCTAATGTACCATAACAATCTTAAATGCTTCATATAACTAAAATTTGACTTTACAAATGACTAGAAACCTTTTTGAAAAGTAAAATCAATCTAATCAAAGCACAACACGTCTTGCTACTTTCTGCCAAATACTCTTTCTCTTTCGAGTAAGTATAAAAACCACTTCATTTCTGTTAAGGCACCACAGACCAAACCTAGAGAACTTCATCAAGACTGTTTTGTTGTCAGGTTGTTTTTTTTAGGGGGATGGTGTGTGTTTGGCTATAGAGGGAAAAACTTTTTAAATGTACAATATATAACACCAATTATATGTATCAAACTTGGACTCCACATAAATGACATCAAAGATACACACCCATGTAGCCAACAGTTCCAACACGGCCTCGTATGGACTCCCCTTCCGGGATTTCCACAGCTAAGCCTAAATCTGAGATTCTCACGTGGCCTGGAAAAGGAAATGAAAGAGATCTAATAAAAGACAAGAGAAAAAAGTTTATGATAGCTAATTTATAAGCTTTCTTTGAGAGCTTAAAAAATGCAAAAAAACAATTTGACTGCAGTTTAGCTACTTCCAGTCTGGCTAAGGGTAAAGAAGACTTAGCAGAAACTTCTCAAATCATCGAATAATAATAAGGAAAAGTTTCCGAATCATCAGAGAACCACTAAACCCCGTAACACTTTGCCACCTCAACTCGCCACCCTGTTCCTTGGGATTTTCCCCAAAATATGATGACAAAGTGTTAAACACAGAATGACAAGGGGAACTTTGGTCGAGGATTCCTGAAACTACGGAAGAAAGCCGTCAGTTTTAACTGGTATTATTTCTTCCATGTCTGTGTCTTGCCTGATTTAATTAAAGTTCGGTTGCATTTCATTTGCCAACAATCTAAGAATTTTACCCCCAATACAGTTATAGCAAAATTTGCACCAAATTTCTCAAGTTTGAAGAATTTATTAACCAGGAAGTACATTTGCACCATTTGTCAGAATGAAAAATGCTTTGAAATCCAGAGAAAGGCCCAAGATGTGAAAAAAACTACTCCTTTCCCCATGACCTCTACATAAGCTTTATAATAACTGCTAATAGCTACAGTTCTTTCAGACAAAAAAGCCAGGCAATATGTCAACTTACCATTGTCATCTAGTAAAATATTTTCTGGTTTTAGATCTCTGAGGAGATAAAAACAAAATAAAAATAAAGACATGATATGCAAACTGCATGCAAATTTATTTTTAAAGAACAACATCAGTTCACCTTCACAAACCCACCATTAGAGCTTTCTACCCCCATAAAAGCATCCACCTCCAGCACAAGTCTTGATGCCTTCAGCATCACTCAAAGCAGAGACACTTTTTTGTAATCATTTTTCAGTCGATCTGTACCCCACAAGAAGAAAATCTTGAAAAATTCAGTGGGCATAAACTATAAGTAAACTCCTCCCTATTAATTTTGTTTTTAGTCTTTAAAGGATGGGGGGGTTTTTTCTTCTCAATTTAACATTATAAAATCAATGTCTCCTATCAAAAAGGTCGCTCAATAACTAAAAACTTACATTCCTGATGAACACCGTTTCTGTTTCACAGCTAATGATTAATGTCTGAAATCAATAAACTTCCCTTGGAAAGTAATTTAGCTCCAATTTCGCTACTGAAAGGCAATAATATTGAAGACCTCACAGAATTGAAAATGTCACATTACTAATGATTGTAAAAATCCACTCATACAAAAAAGATAGTCTGGCACGCACACAGCCAAAGCGGACGGATAAAGAAACATCGCTATGTACGAATTTCATTTTCTACGTGTTTTAAATACAAAAGAATATGCATGTAAGGAAAATATTCAGGACATGAAAATCTGTTTCAGGATGCGTTTGTTCAGTATGTTCATGCTAGACTGTATCTAATTCATTCACTATTAAATTTTTTTCCTTCTCATTCTGATGTACGCCTTTTTTCAGCAGCTCTAAAACTAAATGGTATATTGAGAGCACCAACTATTAGTCTCTTCGTAACGAAGGAGTTAAAATATTTATCCAAAAAGAGTGAACAGCAGCTGTTCTTTGCCGTACTAACCTGTACACTATGCGCTCTTTGTGCAAGTCGTTCAAGCCGCAAGTTATCTCAGCTGCATAGAAGACGGCGCGTTCCTCAGGGAAACCAGGGTTCCCCATGTTGTGGATGTGAAACTTCAGATCACCACCATTCATAATGGTTAGGACTAAACATAGGGCATCCTTGGTCTCAAATGCATAAGCCAAACTAACCTGCATATAGAAAAACAAGCACAGATACTAAACCTAACACAAATACGAAAATTATATCTGATTATCTTTTGAAAAAAAACACCAATATGGAGCTGCTCAAACTGAACATTAGGGCTTTCAAATTTTATGGACCCGACCACGCTTGCACTAACTTTTCACAAATCCACAGAACTTCTTTGATTTGCTTTGGCATTTAAATAATGCAATGCTTTCTTATTAATGCTTAATAGTAGCAGGTTATTTGATTAAACTGAGCTATAACTGCCATTATATGGAAATATAAAAGAAAAAATGAAAAGGGGACTATAAATACCTTTTTCCATGCTGAAGATGTCAAGCTATGCACCCAAGTGACAACAAAATCAAAATCTATTAAGCTAAAAAAGAATAAATATTGTCTTTACTACATTTAGCTCACTTAATTTGATAAAGTAGTAAACTACGTTCAGCTCTATTAAAAATACCTTTAAAAAGTTTTTATAAGAATGCATAACAAAAATTTGTCAAATATAGAATACTAATACACCGCAGACAATCATCTGCCATCCCCAGCAATAGGATGCCTCGCAAGTGCATATTAGATTTCTACTTACCACAAATCTTGAGTTGATCTTTTGAAGAATTTGCTTCTCATTCAATGCCATTGCCTCTCCTTTCCGCTTCTTTATCCTCTTTTTCTCCAGTTTCTTGCATGCATACATCTTCCCAGTCGCTCTCACTTGGCAAGCACACACTTCACCAAATCCACCTTTCCCTAATACTCTGTACATTCTGAATGTGTTTTTGGTCACAGGTTGACTGAAAAAAAAAACACAAAAAAAAACCACCACTTTATTTTGCCATAATATAACCAGCAAACAAACAAAAATCTACGACTTCTACAGCTACAACAATGAGAAAAAAACAACAAATATGAAAAAAAAAACCTAAACAAAAAGCAAATGAGCCTTGAATTTTCTAACAGATTTTTTTAAATTTCCACAGCAAGAGAATTGTCAGAAGAACCAGTACAAGTCATGTCAATACAAAGCCTTTACAAAAAGTGTACTTCCTGAACCACTCTTCACCTGACGCTGTGCACAGAATGTTAAAAAAACAACCATTATATACTGCTGTCTTAAAATGCTTTGTGCGTGAAAATCAGATGTATGGCGCAGAGATATTATTTAGACTCTCAAGAGCTACTCCTGAAACCTAATCTGTATAGTATAAGGTTTTACGGCGCTCGCAACTGCTAAGGTCATATGAGCGCGCGAAACACAAGTTGTTCACCTCTGCGAAAGTTCACTTCACGACTGGTAACTCAACTAATTTACTTTAAAATGCTAAAAAGTTAAAATATTCAAATTCGGTGTAAATACATTTGTGATCTAAAACAACTTTTAAGTAACAATAAAAATTTTAAATAATATCAAATTCACTCTACAACTCGCCATAAAGGCCAATGGCCTTTATAAAATTTAAAATTCTGCTGGGAACAACGACGGAGAAAATATCCTGCAATTTCTTGCATTTATAATATTTCCTTCGGATCTCTCCAAAGTCTAGACATTCTGTTAAAATGTGTCTAATGGTAAAATCTGTGTCGTATCCGACACAGAACAGCTTCTCCTCTCCCTGCAGGAGGTATTTGTGGGTCAGGGCCGTGTGTCCGATGCGCAATCGAGTAAAAATGACTTCGTCTCTTCTGGAGAGATCCGAAGGATTTCGCTGTTCTAGTCTGGGTTTAATTTCATATAATTTATTATTTTTCTGGTTTTCCCAGTGGCTCTCCCACAGACTGGAGGTGTACTTTTTGACTTTATTTCTAAAGTCAGTCTGTGGGAGAGTGTTTGTCGTTGATCCCAGCAGAAGGGATGAAGCTTTCTTCGCCAGGTCGTCTACCTGCTCGTTTCCTCGGATGCCCACATGGCTGGGTATCCATGCGAACATGATGTTTTTTCCTGTTTCGGATAGTGTATGGATTTTCTGTTGTAGCCTAACTATTTTTGGGTGTAGGAGTGTGTAGTTTGTGAGTGAGGTGATGCAAGACAGAGAGTCAGAAAGGATAAGGAAAGATTTGTTAGGGGAATTTTCTACAGAGTCCAGTGCCATGTCAATGGCAGTGGCCTCCGCAGTGAAAATGGAGGCTTCAGGATGGAGTCTCCTCTGATGTGTATTGTTGGGAGATAGGGCTGCGGCGCCCACTTCATTGTCTTTTTTGGAGCCATCCGTGAAGATGAGCTCCGCACCGGGGTATTTATCTATTAGTTTTTTGTATTCTGCTTGAAAAGTTTTGGTGTTTGTGCTTTCTTTGTTGTGTGTGGTCAGCTGTAAATCTACTTTTGCCTTGGTGAGGTGCCACGGAGGGAGGTCGGGGAAAAGAATTTGTTGGATGTCTTGTTTGGAAAAGTGTAAGTTTTTGAGGTCCTCAAGGATTCTGAGGCCGAAAGGTTTGATGAGTTTTTCGTTGTTTTGGAATCTGTTTCTGGTTTCTGGATTTGTTTGAAAAATGCTGTTGTGCGCTGGATTTTCCGGTGTTGAGCTCTGTTTAACTGCGTATTGTAGTGAGAGTTGTGTGCGTCTGAGTGAGAGTGGTGGTATGTTGGCCTCGGCCTGGAGGCTCTCCACCGGAGAAGTGCGGAAAGCCCCCAGAGCGAGGCGGAGTCCTTGGTTTTGTATTGGGTCTAGCATTTTTAATATGTGTGGTTTTGCCGATCCGTAGACTTGACAAACCTAATCTATACTCTAAGAAAAAAGTTAAGGAACAGCCATAAATTTGTATGCATTTTTCATGGGACATTTATAAATTTACATTATACCTTTAGAAATGACACCTGCTATATTTGAGCAGTCAATTCAACAATGTGTACAACAAACAACATTGAAAACATTTGTGCTTGAGTTGTGAACCCGAGGCACATGGTAACACGTTCAAGTTCAAGAAAAAGTTTGTTTTTAAAAGGTAAAAAAAAATTATATTGTGTCTTAGTTGTGCAAAGAAACTTTCATGTGGTAAATCATAATGTTAAGTAAACACTATACCAGTGCAATGACCATTAAAGCCCTAGCAGAGAGTCAAAAATTTAATCACCCAACAGTATGATTAGGAGAAAATTGAATTCGCATGACAGAAGAAGGGCTATTGGTTTGCTCCAAGATGGTGTTTCCTTGAGGGAGGTGGCTCGAATACTGTTTCACCTTCAGTAGTCAGCAGACTACAAGACCAGAACCAACAAACCGGAAGTGCTGACAAACACTGTCAGTCTGGGAGGCCCATGTCAACCACTGCCAGGGAGGACCGATTCATCCGATGCCAAGCTGTTGTAACCCAAACAACAGCTAGCTTCATCCGGTAGCGTCTCAGTAAGCTACTCACACAAATGTCAGCACTCAAACTGTTACAAATCAATCGCCTGCAATGAATTTGAGCTGCACTCCCGTCCACAGACATCGGCTCACCCAAGACCATCAAGAAGCACACTGAATGTGGAGTGCACTGCATCAAAGGTGGACACTAGCAGACTGGGGTCAGGTCCTCTTCACAGATGAGTCGAGATTCCAGTTGGAGCCGCATTCGGGTGTGGAGATGTCATGGACAGCACTTTCAAGACAACTGCATTGTGGAAAGAGCCAGCTATGGGGGAGGTTCTGTGAAGGTGTGGGGTGTGATTTCTTCACAATAGGACCCCTCTCTACCACATTCAGGGTAACCTCAATGCCATTCACTATTGTGATGAGATTGTACAACCTCTAGTGATCCTGCGGCTGCAGCTGATTGGTACTGGTGCAATCTTCCAGGACGACAACACCGGGCCACACCGTGCTCATATTAACGATTTCAATGCTCAAAATTAAATTAGCAAACTGCCTTAACCTGTAAATAGCTCGGATCTAAACCCAATTGAATATTTATGGCACAAGCTAGGGTGCCGTGTTCAGGAAAATTACCCGCCAATAGGAACTCTTGACCAACTCCTTCACAATCTTTCACAAAAGTGGAATGCTATTCCATGTGTTCCTGACAAACTTGGTAGGTCTATGAACAATACGTGCAGAGAGTGTTTTGCTAATAATACAGGACAGACAAATTACTGAGCCTTGTATTTAAACTTTTATTTAGTGGTTTTTAATTCTCAAGGGTTCCCATTTCCATCGTACATATTGTTGTTGGAGTGGATTTGCTATAATATTTCTTATTATTATTACAGTAGTCTCCGCCTAAGATCCCGGTGCTCGGGAGCAAGGAAATGCGGGATCTTAGGCGAACCGGGATCTTAACAGACGAACCCAGGGAAGATCTATGGTGAACCATGTTAAGGCTCAATAACGGTAAAATGGTCTCCCTCCACTCTAAGATGAACTGGCGTTCCCTCTTGGTGGGTTTATGGCATATGGCGAGCAAAGAGTGGTTAACGTTGATGACCTATCACGGTGCATAGTGGGATGAGGCGTGCCATTTCCACTTATTATCCTATCATGAGTTTCAGGATCTACGATTATCCAATTGCCCCTCCTCTTTACCTGTCAAAAATGTATAGCTTTCCATCTCTGACCGAGCCCCCCCCCCCCCCCCCCCCTCCCTCCAAACCGCCTTTGTCGTTACACACCATTACGTCGGGGACACACCAATTAAAATTCAGTCTGTCTCGCAAATTCGGGATTAGAGACAACTGCTGCAATGGTCAAGGAAGAGTTCACGGTTCGATGTGATCCTGCCAGGAGCGAACTTGTAGGCCCTACCCACCCAGCGAGTGATGCAAGTTTAGGGGGAGAGCTCAGATGTGAGTGCGATGCGTGGGGAAAACAAACGCGTCGGTCAGTTCACACCCCGGTGTGATCCCGTCTGGGGCAAACATTGTATCGCTTCATCGAGTTTTACTACGTGTATGTGATCACATTCACGATAGTGGCTGATCTTTGACGAGACGGACAGTTTATTGATCTCAACTTTTCACTCTTGGTTGATCGGCTGTGCCCGCCCGGGTTTTTGTTTAGCAAATTATGATCTGAAATGCGGGATCTTAGCCGAATGTAGACCATCAGAGCGGGATCTTAGGGGTGGCTTTTGTATAGTAAAAATTCTGTTTTCCTAAAACAACGGGATCTTAAGCGAACCGGGATCGTAAGCGGCGGGATCTTAGGCGGAGACTACTGTACATTTTTTTAAGATATTAAATAACTTTCTGTAAAAATCCAGACTTGTTTTCGTTTCTTTGGTCTCTTTTTATTTAAATTGATACAAGCATTCCCTACCTTTTTCGAAGAGTATACATTAATTTTTTAGGTACTCAGAGTTTAGATCAGAATTTGTTTGGTTTTTTTCCCTTGACGAAATTCTGATCAGTGGCATTTTTTTAAAAACCCATTAAGATCAAAATGTCACAGAAGTGTATTATACACCGAAATGTCAGGAAATGACTGATCTTTACAATATGTGTTATTTGGTAAGATATCTAAATCTATATAATCCTAAACAAGCCAGGAAAAATTTTCTTCATAGAAAAATAACAAAAACCATTTTCAGCCAAGTCAACCTGCGTCACATCAGTGCAAGCTATATATAAACCATGATATCTGGTAATTCCATTGTTATTACTAACGACTTAACTTTTATCTCTCTATCAATGTCATGCACAACAGCAAATACTTACGCTTCTAACCATTTCCACTGCATGAATCTCTTGAAGTACATACTGGCAAGAAATTCTTGAAAAGGTTCTTTGCTCAAGTACTCTCTAACAAGCCTGAAATATTCATAGCAAAAAAGACAAAAATATATGTAAGAAGGTATCCTCTTTCGTTGAAAAATAAAGTGAAAGGAAGTCCATTTTTCTAATTTACATGTCATTACTACCGAAAGAAACGTGTCAACATATTAAACAAGGACAGAAGAAGACAATAAACAGAAACACTGGAAATGGTAATTCTAATTTGTTTTCACAAAACTTGAAATTGTACTTTAAAAATCTAACTGCATAAAAAAGATAGCACATGTTCTTTACATTTCCATTTTTTAAAAATAATTTATAATTAATTACATAAAGCATTTAAAATAGGAACCCAATATTCTTGAACATCTGTAAGTATGATTATGAAAAATAAGAACAGTTATCTTTTTCACATGTGCAGGTCTGAACAAACAAAAAAAATTAACTACACTAAGCGAACATTTTCGTGCTGAGACAAACACAAAATATACAAAGGCAACATTACGAAGACAAAGCTACTACTTACTTGGCACAGTCATCAAATAAAGCTTTACAAGACTTGTTCTGGCCCATAATATCTTTTATCTCAGAGACTTGATTGCCATTTACATGAGTCACGTAGCTTTCAGACTGCACAAAGATTACATAAAAGAGAAAGGTCAATAACATAAAAATCTTTTCAAATTCCAGAAATACAAAATACATCTAAAAATTAAACAACCTTTAACAGGTATGAATTGTCCAAAAGGTGCATATTTTTTTCCCGCAAAACTTAAAAAGATTTCGTGACTTCATAAAAATTCACTTGAAGAACAAAGGCCTGAAACAAAGGGTACTGAAAAAAAAATGTTCACAGCAGAGAATTATGTACAAGATAAATTATTCCAACCTGCCACGCTATGAAAACGAAAGTCAGGATCTCACAAAAAGAAAATTGAAACTATCACCAAATCACCAAGGTTACTGCCAATCTGACTTATAGTTCAGACAACACCAATGGACAGCTTGTCGACCTCAATACACCGAATCTAAGTGGCGAATCTCTGATTTTTTGCATGCACCTCTGAATTCTAAAAGACCTAAAAAATCTCGATTTTCATGCATATGCGACAAAAATAAAGAGGTGCTGTCTATATAAACATAAATAACTAATTGTTCACTAAACTCAACACCGCACACATTTTATAGCAAGCACCGTACTATGCTAAAACCATTTTTTTTTAAAATGGTGAAATGGTATACGTTTAACGCACCCCCCCCCCCCTATCAACACTATTAGGTTATTTAAGGGGCGAGACCTCCTAGTTTAACGTCCGTCTCCGATAGGACCGCGCCAAGTGGGAAGTTCGTGTAAAGTACCTTTCCCAAGGACACAGGTACAACGTCGGACCGAGCTGAGGCTTGAACTGCCGAACTTGCAATCTCACGATTACGAGTCCGGTAGCCTAACCACTATGCTACCGAGACCACAACAATTCAGGGTAGTGTAGTTGCAGGGGATAAACTAGAAATTTCAGGGGGGGGGGGGGGATACAGTTTGGTCAAAACCCAAAAACAGGTGTCAACAGAGTGCTATATTTGAAGTGCTAATGGGCATGTCACTGGACACCCCCCCCCCCCCCCCCATTGGGGGTTTTAGGGGGGGCCCCCCCCCCTTACACGTACATTACATGTCCTGTCCTTTTTTCGAGATTGTTATAGAATAAAAGAGATGGCCTCGATTAGCTTCTATGAAGAAATAGTTCAGCGGTTTTAAGGCAACGTTTTGGAGGTTTGTAAATCAAGTGATCTAACCATGGTAATTAATGAAAAAGCAACAGCAAATTGAAACGCGCAATCTCAATAACAGAAGATATAAAAGAAATTTTACTCATTGTACATCACAATGAGTCAATCAAAATAAACCCACTGTCACCCACTAACTGCTGGACTAAAAACAACTCAAGTCTTGCAGCGCACGCAGTCAGGTAAACAAAAAAAAAAAGAAAATAGATTTGAACAAACAAAAAACTAGCAATTGACTACCGTTCTTGGTCTCATAAAAAATCCCGGCGCAAACCGTAATTAAATACTAATGATTATATAGAAAACACCTCTTTATATTTGCATATGCCCGAAAATCGAGATTTTAAAGGTTTTTTTAAATTCAGAGGCACAAGCAAAAAATCAGGACAATTCGTCACTTAGTTTCTGTGTAATGGGGTCGACAAGTTGTCCATGTGGTGTTGTCCGGACGGACTTAATATATTTTTCCAGGGGTATCCTTAAATAACCCTCTGTGTGTGCTTGAGTGTGCATTTTATCATAATCTTTTTAAATCCTGAATTATAACATCAATCTCTAAGTCAAAAAGTCTACCCCTCCCCCCCCCCCATATTAAGTCCCAAAAGACGCTTAAACCAGTGTGCAGGAACTTATGTTGACCCTGTCAACAGACGGTCCTCGACACATGCGGAACTCACACTTCCAAGTCACGTCACGTGATGCAAACAAACGATTGAAACACGTTTTCCTAACGGGTCTTCATAACCAAAACTAGGATGAATATTATTTTTTTTAAAGTAACAGTAGAACTACGACTAATAATGATCATTAGTAAGTAGCAATTGTAACAGTTCCCAGGACCATCATCGGAGAATTCCCAGTGGTAACAAAAGCAGAAGTACATCTTGAGAATATCCTAAGTAGGAATGCAAGATAGACACTATTTAATTATAGTTGAGATAACAAATGCAAGCAAAGATCCAACACTACTTGCGGTGAGTCAACTACTAAATCCGGCACTAAAATTTTGGAAAATAAAGCTCCGAGCTCCTGCTGACAAAAAGTTCAATGGGTGCTTACCCCAACAGAGAAGAAGGCAGGGTAAGTTTTTTTTAAAATCCAGCACCAGAGAAAGAATTTAAAAAAGGGGGACACACAATCGAAATCGAGATGTTCGAGACTTGGGGAAAAAATTGGGATGTCCCGATTAAATCGGGATAAGTGGCAGGTCTAAAATATTTCAACTCCACACACCTTCCCCCCCTGAGAAAAAACAAAGCCATAAGACAGACCAGAGTCAGAAAAAAGGGGGATTCTAATAACTTACATCAGGTTGCAAATACTTCTCCAAGATCTCCTCTGCTTTTGTTTGCCTTTTTTCTTCTGGAGTGATTTCATACTCTTGCTGTAAGAAAAAACACACAAGATTAATTTCTTATTTTGCTAAGATTTAAACATGATGAGGTGCAAACTAATAATGCGGGATACTACCGCTTTTATATAATACAACACAGACAAGTCCGCAAATTTAACAGTTGGAAGTGAAAAGTGAGAACTAGATTATATAATATATTTGTAAAATTTACAACAAAAAATAGAAACAATCAAACATGCTCTTGGACCAAAATTATATTTTCTACACTATTCAATATTGGGGACATGCAATAAAGCTCAGCGTGACTATATTTTAAAATAGAAGACTAAATTAATACAAACTACAACGAATGGCCGAACTGTGACCAAAAAAAAAGAGGACCCACCACAGCATTTAAGAATCCTATTGAGCGCTGATAAGGTTCTTTTGTGTTGCAAAATTCTATGAAGAGATGACGGCCTAGAGGCTGGTGGTCAAACATGAAAGTGAATTCGTGATCTGAAAAAACAAATGTGACATTAATACAAAACAAAAAAAAGATCAATTACATTACATACTGCTCCTATGATCAGTGCAGCACCAATCCCAAGGGACAGACACAAGATAAGGTGTCAGGGAATGTATCAAAGAATCAGTGGAAACAATCAGAAGGCACAAGTGAAAATATTCAATGTGCAAAACAGAATAACAGAAAATAGAAAAAGGGCCAAAAGAGCATTTACCATATCTATGGCATCAGTGAAGATAAAGATAATTTCTTTTCTAATCCTATCATTATTACTTATGTGATTTTCAATTCACTATTTCAATGCCTTTTTGACAAACCTAGTGCATTATATGGAATAGTTTAATTACATCTTCAAGTACCAAGCAATACAAAAACAAATATGTCATATCAAAAGGGTCTGGTATCTTAGAGAAAAACACTGACCTGATGATCATTGTACTCAACTGAAGAAATATTGTTCACGAAGGTACAATTATAATGTAGCCAGGCTGGGAGAATGGGAAGGACTAAAGTATCACATCTGTCTCTATGTCTAAGAGATATAACAAGCCACATGCACGAACCCTCAGGACCATTCGAAACAACTCTTCGGTTCTAGCATCTACCATAAACACATCCACCATTATGGTAGATGCATGAACCCAAGAGTTGTTTCTAATGTTCCTGAGGAAAGTGAGGCAATCTCATATCTTCCTTTAAAAAAGTATGAAATTTTTTCTTCTGAGACTAATTCCGAGTTACATTCACACTGTTGGGAGACATGCCAAGCTGGCAAACGTTTTTATTTAAACAAGCAATGGGGGATCCTTAATTTAACAAACCACAAGAACATTTCTCGTCATTCTATTGTCTAAGAGCAAATTCCATCAAAATCAATCCCAATCTTTCCAGATCCATAAAATATTTGTCCAGACTAACAAGTTTCCAAACTGAGGGTTTTTTAAAAATTCTTTTAGTCTTGAGCAGTGTTGGCACTGGACCTTACCAATTCTGTTGAAATAATGACCTCATCAGCCATTCTAACCCACAAAGGAAAGGAAAGCTGGCAGTATCAAACAAAGATCTTCAGGTATGAAAGGCGTACCTTATTATTTTTCAGCATAATTTATCCCTACCATTCAAATCTTTACATATTGAAACAGAGGTTTCAAAACAGGTACCAATTGTCTTTTCTCTGCACAATATTTCAATTTATGGGTCATAACACAATAATACTAATTTTCTATCACTACATTTCTCTGTACTTACTGATTTTGTTCTTTATATCGGCACACTGTGAGATGTGCGGGAATGATAATATCTGCTTCCATTTTTTGCTTTTTCCTTTTCGTTTGCCTCCTCCACCTGGAAAATGCAAAACGATAAAATCATCACTCAGGAAAAGGTACACAATTCATTTCTCGCTTCAATGGATGTGTAGTAGCACAACACTCAATAACAATTATCCTTCTTTTTTTTTTGTAGAGGTTTTACGGCACTCACAACTGCATAAGGTCATATGAGCGCCAAGGGGTGGACGTCAACAGAGAAGTCCTTACAGGGAATCAGACTTACTCTGTTCACCTCTCTAGCTTCAGCAGCACAAAGTCTGCTTCGACTATCAAGGCACCCGGAAATAGTGGGTCACAAGAGTGTGACTAACATACAAAAGAAGTAGAGGAAATTGACGAGAATAAGGATTAGGAAAGAAAAAACAGCAGTTCCATGTTGTAGTTCAGGCACAGTTATGAGCATGACATTGTTAGATCAGCCCATTTACAATTCTACTGTGCACTAGAACGAGAAATGTCCCCCCCCTTTGGGAATGGCCTAAAGACACTTCAGTCAGTGGCACCGCCCCGGGCGGGAGACAATTATCCTTCTAAAGAAAGATAAAAATCAACAAAAAATATATCCAAAAGATTTGAGGGTCACTGAGAGACTGAAAGCTTACTACGACTAAACAAAGATTATGTGTGCAATCAAATAATATGCCACAAACAAAACTTAATGAATATAAGATACTTATATTACAACCAACCACCACCACCATAAGCACAACTTATCCTTAAATATCTTTTACGGGAGAACCAATGTCACCCATACTTTGCACAGCAGTTTATATCAATTTGTCTTAACTTAATCATATTTTTCCACAACAATTGAGGCCCGATTAAAAAACTTTTCTTCAAAAATGTATATAAAATACTAAAAATCTCCATCACGCGGAAAATGTGATTGTTCACAGCACTTCCCACTTTTCGCATACATTTTGCATTAGCATATATGGCCTACATCAAAGCTCGCCAATGACACTTTTTAGAGGAAAAACTTCTGACAAAAAAATAATTTTATAATGAACACATTTTTTTGCACTAAAGATTCCCTAAACACACGTTCATTAATGTTCAATAAGTATACTATTGCAATTAGAAAAAAGGACATACTTGCTTCTAAAAGCAATGCCCAAGCTGTAAACATTTACAAATCTGTAGAAACCATAGACTGGGATTTTTATAAGTGTTTTTATTCAGGAATTTTCTAGAATACAGTGTGCAGGAGTTTTTTTTTATTATTCACCTGTTAAGGCCAAGGTCTACAGTGAAAACTAAAAGCTAGACGGGTAACTTCCCATCTACTTACTTGTGATAACCATACCCCACAGAGATTTTCTTCACATGTGATACATTTCGTTTTTCGAAAAATGCTTTGGTTGCCATGGAAACGGGGAAAAACAGCCGCCATCTTGGATTTTTTAGTTTTCCATGGAACATTTTTCTTTCGTTATCCACCCAACAGTCATGAAAGTTGGCACACATACTATCATTAACATCATGCACATTTTGTCTGATTTTCAGTTCACTAAGTGAATAGCTGTATTTTTTACGATTTTTTTAAACTTGTGTATGCATATGTATATTATGCAATTATAAGCTCTCCCCTAACATAAAAAAATCGTTTAAAATTTTTTTTTGCCCCATATATACATATGAATGAGACAAAATTAGTATTTGATGCTAGTAAACACATGGTGTAAATTTAAAGCATGTCACACAAACCACATAGGAGGTTTGTAACTTCAAATGCAGAAAAATTGGTTTTTGAGAAAATAACCTCGGTCTGTTCTATTTCCGAACCAATCCACATGAAACTCAGCAACCAATCAGAAAATAGGACAAACTAACGATATGTGGACGTTGAAGTTCGTACACATAAATTAACCTATACTTTTGATGTCGGGAACACTTTCGTATCGGGTACACCGAAAACTATATGGAGTTTGAATTTCAACGCTGAGATGGTAATAGATCTATCTATCCTCAATAGTGTGCTCAAATTTGAACATTCTGTGTCAAGTACTTGTTAAGACCCTATCATAAATGCACGACTACCCCCCCTATCCAAAGCGGCTTCGCACAGAGACCGGCCATTTTCCCCCCACTCTCGCGGCAAATGTATGTGACCTACAAATCATTGCATGACTATTCCGGGCCCGTTCATTGGTCACTTGAAATAGGGCAATGGCGGGTGCGCGAATCAGGTTGTTTTTTTCTCTGTTCCCTGTTACCTTGCAATGGGGGTATTCCGAGGCGAGGTTATCTCGTCTCGGGGTGTTCGCGTCTCAACGGGGAAAAAGAATTTTTAATTGTACGGCATGCTAGATTGAATTAACTTATCTTTTACGGTTGGCATGGCCTAAAGTCATCATAAAAAGCTTTGCAATTATTTAGTCACGCTGCCGACATATATTCTTAAAGATTCCATGTTGTGATACGATGCTATAAATAAAATGGACTCATCCCGACACCCCTTTTTCGCAAAATCGTAATATGTACACCAAAATTTTAATTAAAACAAAATAACTACGAAATGGGTAGTAAATGATTTCTACACACAAAAACACATCGGGTAGCCAAGTTTCTTTCTAACACTCCGATTAGTTACCGAGATATCGTCGATTTTCTTACAGAATCTGCTACTGCGTGGTCCACTTTTTAGGAGTATTTTCCTATATGTGGGCCATCCATATTTTGCCGACCTTTACAACCCCATAACTTTTTTATTTATTTATGAACCGATTCTTAAAATTCATACCAAATAAAAAAGGGCTAAAGTGAAAAATTAAATTTTCATTGGCATTGCTAGCGCATGAGTCAAGGACTCCCCCCTGACCTCTCGCAGGCCGATAAAATCACCTAGGCCCTAGGTGGCTAACCACATGTGGTTGGGAAATGACTCATGAGTGCTTGGCGCTTGTTTCCTCAAGTAGGCCAACTACCGATTACCTTTGCCATAGCCTTATCATGGAAGCAACCACTTGCCGTGCACAATTCAGAGCTTGTTAGGCGTAGGAAACCCGCCAAAACCGCCAACAAGCATCACACCCGGGTTGCCACTGGGATCATCACTCTCACCAGTGTTATTCAACATAAACACAGTTGGAATCACTTCTGGACAACTGGAAGGCCCAGGACGTGTGCTGAGCTTTGCGGATGATGTCCTTGTATACAGACAGGGTAAGGACCGGCAAGAAACCGCTAACTGTGCAGACCACAATGGGAAACTCCAGCCCGACAAGACCTGTGTGCTGTGGTGCTCGCAGAACAATCACGCTGTCAAAGCAGAAATGCCCCCAGTCACCATCAACGACAGGGTCCTGAAGAGTGAGCACTCACTGAGGTATCTAGGTATCATGATCACCTTTGACAGATCACTCTCAGGTAAAGATCACATAACCATGATCATCACAGGAGCCAGAAAAAGTCTGACAGCACTGAACACCAAGGTGTGTAGCAGAATGCCACAGAGAATTTTAGCCATACTATACCAGACTCTCGTGCTGTCTGTGATAGACTATGTCCTCCGTCTCCTCACCTTGTCAACGTCGCAGCTGAAACGCCTTGAAAGAATTCAGAATGAAGGTATGCGGACTGTTCTCGGGTGCACATGAGACACACCCTGCCAGGCTATGCATTTTCTCCTTGACCTCTCAGGAATGGTAGAACGTCACAAGACCGTTAAGCTGAAAGCGTATTTGAGAGTCAGCGCCGATGATCAGCACCCACTGCATGGCGAAGTGGGAAGAACTGCTCGCACACATCTGCTTAGAGGGACTGAATTTTTTAAGTTTTAGTTGAGGTTTTACGGCACTCGCAACTGCATAAGGTCATATGAGCGCCAGAAGATTAGAGGTGTTACAAGAGAGTAACAACATAAAAAAGAAGAAGGGGAGATAGAGACGTTAAATGTTTGATGGGAAAGAAGAAGCAGGGACTGAATGAACGAAGAGGCAGCGGCGACTTTGGCTAAATGCTGTGAAGTGCAAAACATCCGTTTGGGTCAGCGTCACTGACAAACCGGGGCAGTATACGAGAGTGGAAGCAACCTTACGCAGAGAATGTCGTGAGAGGTCAGAGAGAGTCAGCCAATGCTGAGTTAGAGATACTGATAGAAGAGAACAGAGAACAGGGCAAAGTAGTCTTCTTCACAGATGGTTCAGTACAGCGTGATGTCAAATCCAGGGTTGGTGATTTTTTTTTTTGGGTGATAAAAATCAAAAAATCGATATTTTTTATTTTAATCGGATTTTTTTGATTTTTTTAAAAATGTCGACACTGTTTGGGATTTTTGGTGGCTAAAAGTATGTTCTTTCAGTGCAAAATGCATTGTCTTTATTTTAACTAATGATTAATTTAAGCCACTGCAATTTTAGAAAGCCTTAATCTGCTATCAGTGAATTATGGCTACAGACAAAAAATGAAGAAAATGTCAGTCTAAAAGGAAGGGGGGGGGGGTAATTATGCATAGATAAACTTGCATTTTATTTTTATTACAGTGTGTGTGTGAGCACGCGCTTGTGTTTGTCTAAAAAGAAAAAGAAAATGCTAATTTCAATTATGAAAAAAAAGTAAATTGAATGCTGTATTATTTTACTACTTCCAGTGACAGGGGGGGAAAGCAGACTTTTAAGCAATTTTAGTCTACTAAACCTTATATCTGTTTTATAAAATCAAGGAAAGGAATTCTGAATGTTTAAGATGTAAAAACAGAAAACATTTTTTTAAAGTGATTTAAATCACTGAGTTTTATTTTTAAAATCAAGTTGATTTAAATTTTTTTAAATCAACTGATTTACCCAACCCTGGTTTTCAATTATGAAAAAAAAAGTAAATTGAGAATTGTATTATTTTACAGTAAAAGGGGGGAAATCAGACTTTTAAGCATGATTATATTAGTCTACTGAACCATATATATGTTTTATGAAACCAAGGAAAGGAATTCTGAATGTTGAAATGTGTAAAAACCGAATAAAAATAAATTTTTTTTAAAGTGATTTTTTAAAGTTGATTTAAATCAAAAAAATCAACTGATTACCTGATTTAAATCAACCCAACCCTGGTAAAATCTGGATGGGCTTTCACTCAGCGCCCATGTAAACAGGGTCATAAACAGAGAGCTGTCAGGCTCCACTAATATAATATTATAATGTATCTCATGTCCAGCATGTGCATGGAGATAGCAATGACCACGAAAAACCTTTTTTTGCCAAAAAGTGTTTGCAAATAGGTGCATTTTGTAGCTGTATCTTCACAGAGCATGGAACTTTTTGAAATTTTGAAATCCATCAATAAACAAATAAGTTACATTTTTTAATCAATTAATTTTTAGTACACTTTAAATTAAAAGAACCCAAAATCTGGGACGTTCTTTGGTGAGTTTTGAGACATTATTCGTCATAACTTGCTCATGCATTTCTTAGAGTGTATTTAAAAGAAACTTGGCAACCCAGTACATTTTCTAGTGCAGAATCTAGTCCTGCTTTCAAATTTTTCATAACTATCCTATTTTTTGAGTTATGAAGACGTTTATAGGTAAAAATGTGGCGGTTATCGTTGCGTTTTGAGACAATATAATTTGTCATAGCTCGCCTATTTCTTGGAATATGTAAATGAAACTTGGCAGTCTAGCACATTTTTTAATGCAGAATCTAGTCATGCTGTCAGATTTTTAATATATATGTCATACTTTTGAGTTGTAAAGACATTAACAGGTAAAAAAGTGGCGTTCTTTACAGATTTACAAAGATTATCAGTCATATATGTTCTCCCAAAGTCATTATATTTGAATGAAACTTGGCAACATAAAAGGTTCCTCCTTGCCAAGCAATGCTCTGGATCAATTTGTCACAAAAATGTAAGTAGAGAGGTGAATTTATTAGTCTAATAAATCCAGTTCTGTACTAGTAAAAGCATGCATGATACTTTGTTTAGAAAACAAGATCGTCTCTCTGTATATATCCATTGTTGGACAGTGTCCTATTGTGTGGTAGATTAAGATGCGTTCAGATAATACAGTTTACAAGTCATGGGAATATTTCGCATGAGTAGGCTACAACTCATACAATAAATGTAACATATCTCTCTCTCTCTCTCTCTCTCTCTCTCTCTCTCTCTCTCTCTCTGTCTCTCTCTCTCTCTCTCTCTCTCCTCTCTCTCTCTCTTTCCTCTCTCTCGCTCTCTCACGCACACACACAAACACACATGCACGCGCGCGCACTCACGCATGCACGCGTGAACGATAACAATGTATAAACAGGACTATCTTCCCAGACTGGACTAAATAAGTACCATACTCTTTAATAACAATCTTAATGCCTCACTTTTCCAAACAGAGCACACAGGACGAGTCCAAGTGTGTGCTTTCCCAAGAGGGGAGAATAGGCTTTCATAACGCAAACACAATGCCATACCACTTCTCAAGATGTTTGCTATTCTGTTTCTATTCTTCTGTCATGCAATCAAGCAAATAAAAATGACTACATCTATTGTATTGTGACTAAAATGCAACAAAAACACAAGTTATCAAGGCCCCCGTTTAGTTTTCAAGTATCCCTCCCCCCCTTTCCGATTCACATAAGCGGGGCCTCGTTTGTAGCGCCCGAGGCGACCGATGGCTGATGACGTCACTCAGTGGAAATTTCCCAGCAGCCGGTCGTTCACCCAGCACGCGCAAATGGCAATGTCGCTTTTTCCCTATTTAAAGTTACTCCCACATTTTTAAGGACGCGAAAACCGCTAAACACAGAAGCATGAAATTTTAAGGGAATAAAGAAAAATGGTGTACAACGTATCAGTTTGACAAATCACAGCTCCGAAAAACTTCAAAGCGCACCACATCAACCACTTTCGCAAGAAACATTATCGACTACTTCTTGGATGGGTACAAACTTGTCAAACTGCATACTACGAGATTACCTCTTTTCTGATTGGCTGCCAAGTTTCATTCATATCCATTCACAAGAAGCGGCATGAGAGCGAGTTGAAGACAACAACTTTTGCGTTAGTGCGTCCCACGAAACGGGGGGCCAAAAATCGGCAGAACAAAACGCGCTCGGTGGGCATTGCTAATATTACTAATAATGGAGATGAACGCCATCACGAACAGATGTCCCTAACTGGATTAAGACGACAGAGTATCAGTATCAGTCTGCCATTCTCGTAACCGACTCGATGAGTACCCTTGAAAAAGAGAAGAAACAAATGATGTATGCAGACTGGCGAGAGGCAATACAAAGCAGCAGACTCACAAGGATTGTACGGCCCTGGTCATGCAGGGGCAGGAGTTCAACAAGGCAAAGAAAGCTCTGATCTAAGCTAGCTGGCACCATGCAATTAGATCCATCAGCATCAAGGCAGCATTGACAGCATGGTCATGGTTCAGCAACCACAGAAAGGATGAAGGCACCACTTCACACACATGAATGGATAGACTAGGGAAGCTGGTGTCTCTAAATCTAGAGGTTCGGGGAGAGACAGCAACCTGTGTACTGTGTGGAAAAGCTAGAAGAATATCCAACCAGCTGATAACTGGCAAGATCAGCAGGCAGACCCTTCGTTCATGGAATCTGGAGAGGAGGGAGGAGTAGCTATGTCTATGGCATTGTATCGCCTGAAAAGATGCCTATTCTCCAATCTCCAATCAACAAAGCCAAGGAAGTAATAATATAAGTCTCATATAAGTAGGCTAAGTAACAACCCCCGATTTAGGCCCAACATTCTAGGTGCAACAGACGGGACATAAATGTCTATCATTATCTCTCAGTCTACTCAGCGCCACAAGCCACTGACACCGGGGTTCTCGCTGCACTGGCACTGTTCATTCAGTGCTCACACACAATACAAGTCTAAATACAACAACTTATAACGGAACTGATGAACACAAACGAATGGTGGCCTAGCCTTGCCGTTACTCCAATAGAAAGCCGGTCATACGTCAGAACCAGTAATGTATCCCCAATGTCTGTACAGAGGTTGCATTTGCAAAGAGATATAACAGAAAGTTAAATGATATTTAAGTGTTGCCCCCCTAAATTTCAGATAGCGGATTGTTGTCAACTGATGAGTGCTGAGTAAGGCTGAGAAGACAAAAAGTCTGAGGAATCGAAATGAGCAGAAGAGTCGAGTGAACGCGATACGATAGCTACACACATAACCTACATGCAAAATTACTCACCTTCGCGAGCTTTCAGATATACTGTATTGGCAACAATATTTTCAAGCTCCATCTAGTTTGCGGGATAGCTCAACTATGCAACAGGGCTGCAGCAGCTACAGGCCCTAATTGCAATGAATCCCTCAACCAGGTTCACTATAAGGGTGTGGTACTAGGGATAGCTCATCAATATGGCTGCCGTCATCAAGGAACTACGGGTTTCGGAGATTTTCATTGGATAAAATTCGCACGGGTAGACTAATGAATAGGCCTATCGAAGGAAGATAGGGAAAAGTTCACTGCGGTGTTTTTCACGTAGGGCCTACAATAAAATTCCTGAAAATCAGAATATCTTCTATGAAATAACCTTTATACTGGTCAAAGTGTCTTGATCAAGCGCTAATTAAAACTGCAATATTGTAGTGTAAGCCGAGCCTTAGATTGCTTTCTTTGTAGTATTTCCCTCTTTTTCTTTTGGTTCAGCCTCATTCAATCATATCTAGCTTGCCTAAGGCTAGGCCTACATTAAATTTCGTAGGCCAATTCTTTCTTTCAGCATTCAAGAATCTCGATAAAAAAAGAAATAAAATAATGATGATGATGATGATGATGATTTTTAACCTTAGCATGAAGGCTTATAATCAGTATTATACTCTTCACACCTCAGACAAATAATCCCTTTCTCCGCGTGTTTTGGAGCTGTAGATGTTTAGCAGCGCGAGCGCTAATTAATAGATCTAATATCATTATGAAAAGATCCGAAAGGGTTTTAATCGTGAAATTCTTTTGTAAATTGGAATTTAAATCATAATGATGCTCTAGTAAAACGTGTACGGCTAGGCTACAATAAGTTAAAAGACTATTATACAGCCAGCCCTCGTTTATATCGGCCTTGGGGCGAGCATTTTTTTAAGTTGGCGGAATACCGGGGCTGGTGTTTCAACGGGGTTCCTCTGTTCGGTAGCCCTGTGTATTTTTGTTGGTGGTTTACTTGTACATAATATGATGTGTTAAGAGCTGATTCGACGTCTCTCTCTCTCTCTCTCTCTCTCTCTCTCTCTCTCTCTCTTTGGGGCTCTGGTGGCCTGGAGGTTAAGGTGTTCGCCTCTTATTCAATAGGTCCCGTGTTCGAATCCGGATAGCGCCGGAAAATGTTCTTCTTAAAAAATGTCTCCTTTCGCTTCTTTTCCCGCTCTGTGACTTAATGTTCTGTCTGGGCTCCTGGCTCTTTCTGTAGCCTACTACTCCTCGGCTCCAACTGCTGTCTTTCAACCACACTCCTGATGAGGTATGATCTACTCCTAGCCTCCTCGGAAAGGGCGAAAAATCTCGGAGGTCCCGTGCAAGTTGAGCGCGCTAAAGATCCCTTGTTGGTCCTAAATCGTTAAGGCCGTCAGCCGAGCAAAATTCAAAATTTTCTTCCCTCTGAAAATGTTTAATGTGTCCTGCGCGCTCGTATAAATAAAGGCATCAAGAAATATATATATATGGTAGAGACCTAAGTTCTTTGAATATCTGCACAATACAAACGTTCTGAAAAAGGCGGAAATAATGCTTAGTGACCATAATAGCCCCCAACTGACATCGGAATTTCAACTATCGACCCGCAGTAAACGATACATTTCCCTAAAAAGCGAGAACAGACAGATATAGAAATTCGTTCGTGCCAACAGCAGTGAGGTTACTAAACACACGCAGTGCTACAAATGAAACAGTGAGTGAGAGAGAGAGAGAGAGAGAGAGAGAGAGAGAGAGAGAGAGAGAGAGAGAGAGAGAGAGAGAGAGAGAGAGAATGCTTTGCAGATCGGGTTGTATCCGAGCACGTGAGACATAAACGTATTTACTATAATGTCCTGTCTTGTTGTGCATATCATATATGCGTGAGTAACCCTTGTAACGTCTACTGCCATTGCTAACGACCAAGACACATTTTCTCCCTGCGATATGAACAAAGATTATATTGTCATTGTCATATATGATCTCAGGTAAAAGCACTGCCCCCTCCCCCCCTCTCTCTCTTTCTCTCTCTCACCCTTTCTTTCTCTCTCTCCCTCTCCCCTTCTCTCTCCCTCTCTCTCTCCCTCTCTCTCTCTCCCTCTCTCTCCCTTAAAAATATATTATCTCTCTTCCCTCTTTCTCTTTCTTTATGTGCATGTAGGTGTGCGTGTGTGTGTATGTGTATGTATGTACGTATGTATGTATGTGTGTGTGTGTGTGTGTGTGTGTGTATGTTTGTGTGTGTACAAATTCAAACCCAGACATAGCTATATTATATTTAAATCAAAATCGTTTGCCGGATCAGAAGTTAAGCTTTGTATCAAGGTTACTGCATATGAACAGTTTTTTGTTAATTTTTTTTTCCTCGACCCCCATCAGTTCTTGACTTGTGTCGCTGAGCGACCTGTAGATGTTAATTGAACTTGAGTCCCCATTGAATATATCGAAGCCCCAGCCTAGATGCGCACCGCTCCTGGTATTGAGGTTATCGCAGGTTGAATACCTGGCTTTTGCGACTGAGATTATAAAAGAGCCATCGATGTAGGGTGCCGCATGCGCCGTGGTGTTTAGGCCTACTGTGACGGTCATATATATGCAGTTCGCTGGCGGTATGACGGGGCAAATTTACAGTAGGTTAATAAGGAACGTACGATTTGGACAGTTTGTGGATGGTGGTATTATAAGGAGAAAAAAATATATACGAACGTTGGTTTCCCTACAATGATATAAATTAATTCTGGTTTACGGTTTAAAAAAAAGGCGGGGGTGGGGGGTATATTTATTTGACTGTACATCAAGAATGTTGTGTAAACAGCGGGCCTCGTTTTAGTCAATTTCATGTGGATTAATTGATACCCTGGGTCCATAAACTGTTTATTAAAATAATAGGAAACATCCTTGTGCCCCCCCCCCCCAAAAAAAAAAAACAACAACCAAAAAATGAAACAAAAACAGCAAATAACTCCATTCCACAAAACAAACACTTTTGGATTTGAACAATCAGAGGACTTATCAGTAGTCTTCTACGCGCGAGACGACTTATACTAGGCCTTCATCAGGGTATAAGGCTTGGTCCCCTATAATTTTTGAGGACTTTAGCCAAAAGTAACAAGGATCATATCTCATGGCCTTCTTGTATCTTGTTTAAAAAAA